GTCGTGTCTGCTCAAGATTTTGGAAAGGATGATCCTTCGTAGGCTTAAACACTACATTGAATCAAAGTCTATTCTTCCCAATACACAAATGGGGTTTAGACCGCACCGTTCATGTGCCGATAACTTGGTGGTACTCACTAATTATATTAGAACTGCTTTTTCGCAGGGAGAGCTGACTATCGCTGTCTTCCTGGATATTAAAGGGGCCTTTGATAATGTCATCCCTGCTATCTTGATAAATGATTTGCTGCAAATCGGCGTTCCGGCCACGCTTCGGCAATTCATTGCGCATCTCATCTCGGAAAGGGAGCTGTACTTTGTTTTGGACGGAGAATTGGTTGGCCCCCGTTTGACTCGTACTGGTACCCCTCAGGGCTCCACCTTGAGCCCTTTACTCTTTGACATATATCTTAGAGATATTAATGAACACCTAATGGAGGGTTGCCGCATATTGCAATACGCAGACGACATTGTTTTATATACATCTGCCAAGACAGTTGCTGAAGCCGAGAATTGCCTTCAGCCTTCACTGGATGCGGTAAGTGCCTACTTGGAGGGAAGAGGTCTGGAACTCTCTCCTCAAAAATCCACTGGTGTTATTTTCACTGAAAAAAGAATCTGGAGGAAATCAGTGTTAAACCTATCCATATATGATCAGCGTATCGTGACCTCTCCTTCGGCTAAATTCCTTGGAGTTACCTTGGATAGTGGCCTCTCTGGCAAGGAACAACTGCACGCTCTTATATCTAGAGGCAACGCCACGGCAAAAATTATATCTTCTCTGTCTGGTGTGTGGTGGGGGTCACATCCCCGTGTTCTCATCGCGGTGTATCGCGCCCTTTTCAGGAGCGCCATTGAGTATGGTTCTCAGGTTTACGCGTATGAAAGCCAATCAACACTCTTCCAGCGGTTGATGAGAATCCAGTACAAAATCATTCGGCTGGCCTTGGGTTATAGGATCTCCACGCCCATAAATGTATTGCTTTACGAGGCCAAGGAGTGTCCCCTTAAATACAGATTTAATTTTCTTACCGCCTCGTTCTTATTCAAATGTTGGTCGGGCTCCAATAACCTGGTCAAGGAGGGCATTAAGGATATGGAATGTGCTGCTGATTCCGTCGTTAAGAAGATCAAGATGATCAAATCCTCCCCCTCCTTTAATCGCTACGCGATACATCATGAGGAGCTGCAGACTGTTTTCCATTCTGAGACTTCTCCTGAATTCACCTATGATTACGAAACTTTGATTCATGAGCCGCTATGCAGGTTCGACATGAGCCGGGTCGCAAAGGACTCTCCCAAGGATATTTTTGTTTTGGAATTCAGACGCGGGACTGAAGAGCTCATTGCTCATGCGGACATTTCATTGTACACGGACGGTTCTAAGATGGGTGAAAATGGACCTGTTGGCGCTGCATTCTACTCGCCTGAAGAGGATTTTAGCTATGCACGCAGATTGCCTACAACCTTCTCTGTTTTCTCAGCCGAGGCCTGGGCTATCAGGGAAGCCTTGAAGCATGTCCTCGGTCATGGGATGAACTCTGCTATCATCTTTACTGACGCTAGAAGCGTTCTTGAGGCTATTTCATCTCATCACTACGCTCAGCCCAACTACATCATCTACCAGATAAAGTCGCTTCTTGCGACTTTGCTTAGAGGACGCAAGGTGATTATTTTCTTTTGGACTCCTTCACATAAGGGAATTAGGGGCAATGAGATCGCGGATGGTTTGGCAAACTCAGTGGCAGGAAGTGGGAGCTCAATGGAGTGCCTGCCTGTCCCGTTTACGGATGCCAGAAAGTCTGCTAGGGATCGTATCAAGAGGAACTTTGAGGGCTGGCTGAAAGACGCCGCTAGATATAAAGGTATCAAACATGCGGAATTGTATCAGGACTCCTCTCTGCGACCGTGGTTTTACTCTAAATCCCTGGAGCGTGAAGAAATTGTACTCATCAATAGAATCCGGAGTAACCATTACAACTTGAACGAAAGTCTACATCGCAAAGGCATGACAGCGTCGGCGGCATGTCAGTGTGGCCATGAGTGCCAGGACATTAATCATGTTATCTTCGATTGTCAGGAAACTCGCAATAAAGCTGCATATCTCCTTAACTTCTTACATTCTAAGTATCCCCAATTTACCCTTAATAATATTTTCCTGCTTCTCAAAAAACCCTCGGTTGGCTTATGCAGACGACTTTTGGCTTTCTTCAAATCATTGGACATTAGACTGTAACCCTTCATATGCTCGCGCGCTCGGATTGGGCGCGGACTGGGGGGTTTGGGGGGGTGGACGGGGGGTTTCTCCTCGCGGGCGTGGCCTCTCGGCCCCGGCTCGTCCGGGGGG